ACGCTTCCAAAAGCTACGAGACGGGATCAGGCAACGCTTAAAGTTTACAGTCAAAATTATCTTCTTCGATGCAGCGATAGGCAGCAAGAATTATGCACCTATCAATGTAATGCCGGCGGGGGAGGGGGGGGGGGGGGGGGGAGTTAGGGCATAGGGTGGGGATTTGACTTTTTTCAAAAATTTGCAATCAAATTCCCTGCCCACGGGCAAATCATTCCAGTCAAATGCAACCAAATTTCCTCACCCCAGACTGCACATTGCTGTCAATCCCAAGGCAGAACCTAAGAAAGGCACAATAAAAATATCTCCAAATAAAACTCTGCAATCTTTTATAAACGTTGCTGCATCACCAAAGATACATGTTCCTGTCACAGCTGCAATTATACGTTTTAGCCATAGTCCGTGTTACACTGCATAGAATACATAAACCTTTAGGAGAAAGTACACATTTTGTAAGTCTAAATACAGCTATTTCGAGAAAGGTTGTCGGAAAAAATGTGCACGCGACAATCCCGAAAGGTAATATGGGATATGATCAATACACTGTTCCTGACGACTGTAGCTGTCGAACCTACTTTTGTTGCTTTCCTTTAGCATTCACGAACACATTTCCATTGCCTTTCGTGCCAATTCTTTCAAATTTCTTTGAAAAACAGAGAACTCAAAACCACCCACAATGCCTTTCATGATTGTCGCGTGCACTTTTCCCGACAACCTTTCTCGAAATAGCTGTATACCGTTCTTAGTAAAGGATAGATAGATAGATAACTTTATTTAAACATGGTTAAAATTCCTTCAGCATGTACAAAAAATCTAAGATCTATTATACCTCACTAAGGGTACAAAGAACGTCAGTTTTATAAGTTTACAGTGATTGTAGCGAATGAGCAATACACTAATTAATTTTACTTGCAAAAATCGACTTGGTTTCTCTTTACTTCCGTTTACTTTGATACCACAGTATTTTAAGAGGTTCAACTGATCAAAAACACGCTAAAACAAACAAAATTTGAAGACAAAACAGTGAAATCCACTCAGCCTTCGCTTTTTCTCATTGGCCTCCATGACTTCCTGATCTTTTCAAACCGTATGGCGCATGCGTGAAGCGTGGAAGCGGGAAACATATATTCGGTCTCAGTCTTTTTCGTCCGAGTCGGCAATCAAATATCTCCACGTCGGGCGAGGAAAGATTCAAATATCCCCTCTCCCGGGAGAACAAGATCAATCAAATGCCCTACCCCAGGGACAACCAAGGCGATCAAATCCCCCCCCCCATGCCCCCCCCCCCCCCCCGCCGGCTTTATATTGATAGGTGAATTATGCACGTCAAGAATATCTTTCCAACGGACTCGTGACAGCCGATCAGCCTTCACACCATGAGCAACAATGGGTTTTACAGTAAGCTTTATTTAACAATGAACAGCTTAGAACACCGATAATGTATGACATGTTTAGGGAAGCGTTACGTTTGTAAACAAAATCCTTGCTTAACGACAGTTTCGTTTACAATTTTCATTACATTTACTTCCCCAAAACCATCCCAAGTAAAATATATTGTCATCGTATACCAGCCTTATACATAAACACAGCTGTGTCTTTTAAGTCAAGCATAACAAAAATTTATTATTGCTTGCCTCCTATTTTCGATCCTATTTAATATTCGAAAAGAACATCTGGATTTTGGATATCCACACAATATTAGTGTGTGACATGTGTTTCCATGCCAGGAAAATTAATCATTCCCCGTAAGTCAAGTCAGGGAGTTTCAGTATAAGTCAGGGAAATTAAATGTAACTCTTTCAAAGAAGCCAGAGGGAGGTGACATATTCCTGCATACTCACCGAAGTTAAACTTGCTCCATTGGCAGAATTATATTGTATCAAGAAATCAAACGACAAGCAGATATAGGGTTTCCTATGAGATCCATCCATTCTGCACTTTACATTCTGGGACAGGATGGCTGTGATGGGAGTTTGGGCATTTATTTTTGTAACAGACACAGATCACAATATAAAACAAAAGAACAAAAAACCATGAAAACATACTAAGCAGATTTTCCCTGAACAGAAAACAAAGAAGTCTGTTGCTTTACATCATCTGTGTCCAGTACACGAAGTTTTGACTGGAATTTGGAATCCATTAATATCTGCACAAATTGTCAATTCATTTGGTCAGGGAAAGTGTACATTTGACTGCCAGTCTGGGAATTTAAAATGCTATGCCTCTGGCAACCATGTCTCAACAAGCTCATGCATGTTGATCGAGAATTGAAATAATGACCACCTTCAACATTACTTGTATGTGGACATTTCATACAAATTCACTCTTACATGAGTATTTGTTTCTCATGCATTGACACAAATAACTATAAACACTTTCATAAATGATTTGGTATTTTTTACTGTGACAATTCAGTGCTAATGTTCAGTAATCATGAGTCATGATCACTTTCACAGTTCTTCTCAACTGCATCCTTAATGACATAGCCTGGGACCAGGTTCCGTAGCGGGAGAAAAAGGAAAAAAAGGGGTCAAATAGGAAAAATATCACATTGCTACATGTAATTTCCATTTTAGTGTAAGTGATTATGTTTACAGCTTACTGTTACAAACAATTAGTTGTCAAGTGTGATTATGTACTACAACAAGTGCAAACACTCTCTTGCTGTTATCACTTAACAATAAATATTTTTTTCTCCAATTGCCAGAATTTTCTTGTTATTTCCACTGCAGCATTATCTCCTACCATTTCATCCACTCACTACTAATGACATACTTCACAAGTAATTATTATTACACATTAAAGATGGCATGTGTTTGCTACATATTCGCTTGCAGTTATTCACTATCACACCCATTTTGTTTTACTATAATTACCCTTGTAGGAGGGTCAAGTGGGGTGAACACGAGACCTATGAAACATTGGCTACCCTTCCTTAACAACACCAACCCCATTTAAATCCCAGAAAATCCTTTTTAAAAAAAGAGCACTGCATGGGTTGAAATTTACTCCAACCAAAAGGCGATTAACTACATCTCACCTTCCAATATTAGAGCCAGTGTTGAAACTCGCCCTCCCAAGCTACACAATTTACTCCAATTCTCTCCCTCTTCCATCCCTGACATTTTAAGCCCCCCCCTTCGCACACGAGCTTCGTGAGGTTCTGAGATACACGTACTTCTAGTTATTATTATTATTTTCAAAACTCAGGGGCACCCAACGACGATTTCCCCCTTAATGCGTTGAAAACACTTTTAAGAATGTCAAGAGTACTTTAGATCTCTAAAAATGTATTCTAAGCGGCGCTAATACATAGATTTAGTCACGAGGGCTAAAAGCGAAGCTCTCGATAATATTTTTAGTTTGCTCATACTAAATATAAAATCGTGTAATGCTAAGCGGAGAAGGCAACGAGACAGGGGGCACCCAACGACAGTTTCCTCAAATACATTGAAAACACTTTTTTAGCTATTTATAACGTACTTTTAGCTCTATAGAAATGCATTCTAAGGGGCGCTATAAATTGGTATCTCAGTGTTCGGCCATTCTCACGGCGGGGGGAACTTGAGTCTTTTCGAAATAACGAGGAATTCAGACTTATTATTTTCCCGAAAATTCTACATGCAATTTAACGTATTACGAAGGAGATAATTTTTCAGATTCCTTCTTTCATCACATTTTTGAATCCGAAAATTTTAGGATTCCTTTTTATCTACGAAAAATAGCAACAGCAAGTGGTAACGTTGCGAGTATGCGCGAGCCGCTGGACGGAAGTTTGTGGTGGTATTGGATTGCAGCGAATGCAGCAAAGAAAAATGGCGCCGCTTTTAAAATTACCATCGTCTTAGTCATCTGTTTTATCTTTGTGGAGTGCAGATAAGACAAAATCTTCTTTGTAATATGCGAGATTGGTCTCAAGGCTAATAAGTCGCAGATCATTCACAATTTTGCGCGGTTTGTGGTCCATGAGTGATTATTGTTTCGTGCTTTGGCTTGCGCGCGGACACGTCAAGCTTCGATGGGGTTCTGTGTAACAAGTGCAAAAAGCCTCTATTAAAACACTGG